CACACACACACACACACACACACACACACACACACACACGCATTTGTAGAAATGGACCAACTCCAGAGCACTGGGCAGAATCGAGCCCCCTGAATTCCCGCCCTCTTCTCTGCCGTCTGGACCGAGGCCCTGCTGCCCTCAGAGGGAGATGGAAGGGCTTCAGCTCATGCACACGCCTCTCTCCGGGTTGCCTGGTCAGCTTCGCCAACCTCACTCTGATTGTCTTCCACTTGAATGTGACATCCAAGATGTAGTGAGCGGTGGCCTGTTTCCCTGTTGCTTCATGTCCAGCCATAGGTTTCCCAAGACCGCTGTGCTCCTTGGGCTTTTGTCTCTGTTCAGACCTCCCCTCTCCTTGTCTCCAGCGCTCCCCTTCCCAGAGCCTGTTAGGTGCGTTTCTGAGGTGAGGAATAGAGGAAGGGTACGTAGGGATGACGTGGAGGTCGAGGGCAACCAGGGATGTTTTGTTGCTGCTGTTCTTCCTGAGGACACAATCACGTGATCAGCTTGGCCGGCATGGCTTCCTACTCATTCTGCCATGCCAGGGGGCCAGGTATCCTGTCCCTTGGCTCCTGCCCACAAATGTTCATTATTCATTCATTCAGCAAACACAGCCTCCCCAGGATAAGCACTTCTGCAGGCCTGGTCTAGAAACATTGAGTAATAGTATGGGGTGCCCAGTATGTGTCAGGTACTGTGCCAGTCACTGACTAGCCAGGGCAAGGGAATCACAGGGCTGACCTCACTTCATTCCCCCGCTTCCAGAGGCCACGGACCCCTTCCAGTCTGGCAGAGAAAGTTCCCTCCCTCCAGGTATTTGTGTCTGTTTCACCAAACCAGGTTCAGCCTCATTCTCCCTCCAGACCCCAGGTCTGCAATGCTGACTGCAGCTCAGACCACCAGCCCCATTGCTCAGCCCCACAACGCCCCTCTTCACCGCCCCTTCCCTCCACCTGTGCTCGTGGCGTGCCCAAAAGAGGATTTGGAGTTAGCATGCCGGACATCAGCTAGCTGCTTCTACTTCTCTCTGCCTAGCACAGAACTGGGAGAAGCCAGAGCCTCTACCTCCTCCCCACGCACTGCTCTGAACAGCTCAGAAAACCAGCCACACTCATGCTCATGCGTGCAAATTAAGGCCTGTCTGAAGCTCCCTATAAGCCCTTGCCGCTGTACCCCAAGGGGCTGTTTGAGCAGTGGCCCTGTTTCTTAACCAGGAATTTTCCCTAGACCTCCAGAGTGTCTTCTCTCCTTCACCTTCTCCCGGACCACTTATGGAATCAGAACCTTAGAACTGGAACGGATCGGAGAAGTCATCGAATGGGAGTGCATTAACACCAGCCTGAGCTTGTTTCTGCTCTGGCTGCCTTGCCTTCCCCTCCACCTCAGAACACACGTGCACACAGACCCGTGTACAGGCGCCCAGCCCCTCACCCTTTCCTTGTCTCTGGAGTTCAACCAGGCTGCCCTAGAGCGCTCTGAGCACCCGTTCCCCCTTTGCCTAGAAAGCAGAGATGTGGGCATGCCCTGGCCGCGGAGCATGTGAGCAGAGAAGGACTAGGGGGTGAGAGGAAAGGAAAATGAAGGTGACTTCAATGGAGGATCCATTTCTCTCCCCTGACTGTACCAACTTCATGTACTTTTGGCCTGGCTGCAAGGGGCAATATTGGTTTACTCTTGTATTCTTCAAAAGTTACAGAACTGTGTCTTAAGAGAATTATTTATAGTTACTATAACTGAATTGACAAATGTCAACTTAACTGATAAATTATATTTGGTAAAATAAAGCGGATGTTTATTTAGATGGTTGGTTTCTATGTACCTCCTCAAAAAGCAGCTTCCAGCCAAGCAGGCTGGTGCATCCTATGGTCCCAGCACTCTGGCAGGCGGAGATGAGGATCTCAAGTTCCACCCAGCCTGGGCAATTTCGTGACTTAGCAAGATTCTGTCTCAATAAAGAGGGATGGGTAGCCAGACGTGGTGGCACACGCCTATAATCCCAGCACTCAGGAGGCTGAGGCAGGAGCATCACAGAATCTGACGCCAGCCTGGACTACATAGTGAATGAGACCCTGTTTCTCAAATAGAACGGGATGAGGATGTAGCTCAGTGCACAAGCTTCAACCCCCAGTTCAGGAGAAAAAAAAAAAGCTTTAGCTATTTTTTTGGTAGTCCTACCACCTCTATGTTCAGTAGAAAGGGGTCTAAGTGTGATGAGCAATAAAATATTGACATATAGAGGTTGTGTGATAGAAAACGTCAGTCACTGAGAAAGAATAGGTCTGTACTCTGGGACGTTCCAAAAGCCAAATGCAGAGTCCTTGCTCTCAAGGAAATTCTGCTGTGGTTTCTCCGCACTTGGCTTCTTTTTTGTGTTGAGGGTGTGAGCATCCATGGGTTAAGATCCCTTCCCGGAAAAGGTTTACAATTAGGTCAGGTCAAATAATAGCTGTTATCTGTTGAATATTTCCTATATGACCAGGATGCTCAACTTTGTAAGCCATTAGAAATTACAATTCACAACAAAGGGTCTGGGTCAGGCAGGTCTGGGTTCAGATGTCAGCTCTTCTATTTGTACTTGTATGACCTTGGATAAGGGACTGAACCTTTCTAGGGCCTGTTTCCTTATCTGTACTCGTTCCCATTTTAATTATGATAATTATGAGGCTTCAATGAGGTAATATACATAAAATACTAAGCTCTCTGCCTGAAACCACTGTGCCCAAAAGTACTAATCAGTATTAAAGTGTGTGTATTAGCTTTCTGTTACTCTATCTAAGTACCTGAGCTTACCAGTTTATGACCAGGAAAGGTTTGTTTGGCTCGCATTTCAGAGGGTTCAGTCCTTGGTGGGTGGGCTTCATCACTTTTGAGCCTGTGGAAAAGCAGAATGTGGCAGTGAGTACATGGTGGGGCAAAATGCTCACCTCAGCAGCTGGGAAGCAGAGAGGCCAAGGTCACCATTCCACGGTTTATGTCAAGGGCGTGTCCCCAGTCACCCAAAGCCTCCCATTGGGCCCCATTTCTGAGTGGTTTCCACCACCTTTCCGTAGCACCAGGCTGAGGACCAGCCTTTATCACATGGCCCTTCAGGAAATACCCGGATCCAGGCTACCTGTAGGACAGCGCTGGAGGCCAGTGCCTGGGCGATGTCCATCCACTCCCACGGGGTGAACGGAAGATGCTGGACAGAGCAGGAAGTGGGAAAGGGCTCCAAGTGAAGTCACAGGGTCAGCGCGTTGGTCCACTTGGAGGATGCTGGGAAGAACGGGTGTTAGCCTGGCAGGGAATGGGAGGAGCAAGAGCCCTGCTACAGAGGGACCATGAGCTAAGCAAGGAAGTGAGCATCCGACCCAAGGAGCTGCCCATGGTTCCCTAGAGCCTGGAGTGCAGAACAGGACCACACGACCTTATGAGACATACTTGTGACAAAGCAATTTTTATATAAATATATTTAAATTCTAGTATATGTTTGTGATACATAATTGCACTTGTTTGGGGGAATATTTATATATGTATACTCTATATTTATTTGCCACATATTGATCATTTTCAGCCTCTTCTCCCCCACTCCTTCTCCAGAAGGCTTGTCTCCCAGTTCCCTACCATCTCTCCTTTACCTTGCTCTTTAAATTATTTATATTTGGGGTTTCTCTGAGGCAATTTTTCTAAGACAGCAGATACAGAAAGGCAGAATTAGAGTGCAGCCCCACCCAGGTCTGTCTGACGCCTACACTGCTGTTGGGAACCGCTGCCCACGTAGGACACAGTCCCCACAGGGTACTGCCCAGCATTGCATGGCATATGCTGTGTGCTGAATACGAGCTAATCTCAGACATCAGCCTTCGTAACAGCCCTGGGCTCTAGGACTAACTCTTCAAGGCAACCATGTGTTAATAAGGCTATTAAGAGAAAGAGAATTGCTTGTGAATTGTTTTATAATCATGTTTTAGTATACAATCTACTTTTTGGTTCGGTTTTTTGGGGGGTCTTTTGTTTGTTTTGGTACTGGGGATCAAACTTGAGACCTTGTGCTTGCAAGGCAGACAGCAGAACCACTGAGCTAAATCCCTGGCCCCATGGTTTTTGAGACAGGGTCTTGCTGTGTAATCCAGGCTGCTTTTGAACAGGTGGCGATCCTCTTGCCTTAGCCTCCTCAGTGATAGGACTATAGGCATGCACCACCATGCCTGGCTAGACAGTATACTTCCAAATAAGTCCTATTTACAACTTCAATATTATCTCTAGTAGGGCCGGGGATTTAGCTCAGCGGTTCAACCACCTGCCTTGTGAGCGCAAGGACCTGAATTCCATCCCCAGTACCAAAAAATTATGTCTAGCAACTATGAAAAAGATAATACCTCCATTTTACAAGGGAGAAATTGAAATTCAGAGAAGTTGATACCTTGCACAAGGTACTAAATTTGAACTCTGTGCTCCTTAAC